CCAGAGACCCGGTTGAAGGGACTCTGGCCATGGAACTTCTGAGAGGTCGCCTTTTCGATGGCAGAATGCTGGAGAATTGAGGCGCCTCTCCGTTCCGACTGTTCTCCATGCTGAGAGACTGAATGGACTTAAGCAACGCTAACCGGGGCAAGCGCAGGAGATTGAGCGTCTAAAACCAAAAGTAAACGAGGTCTGAGGACCGCTTATGAAAGTGAGTCGTTTAAGCATTGATTAAAGAGAAAATAAAGCTCCCCACCCTAACTACACAATAGAGAATTAGGCGAGCGGGGGAGGGACGCCTCCCAAGCGCATGAACTTTTGAGCGAATGAGGGGGGGAGCGGAAGAATAAACGGTTAAAACTGTTAAGAAGTACTTACCAAGGAGTGTGTGAGTGTTTAAGCGCATATTCAGAGACTTTCAAAACGTTTGCGAAAGTAAACAATCCGAGAAACATGGTGGGGAAGAGGCCGGAAAAGGAGAAACTTTTGAAAGCGAAAGGAATTGAGAGCCCCAAACCGGAAGGAACCAACGAGCTGGCAAAGACTTTGGCAGAATCCATGCACCCCCTAATGGACCAGCTGAATAACTTCAAGGAACAGATGACCAAAGTGACTCAATGTATCACCGCTCAGCAGAACCAGATAAACGAGACTCTGAAAATGATGAATCAAACAGCTGAGAAGGTGAAAGAAGTGGATGCCACTGCACAAAAGGTGAAGAAGAAAGTGAAACAACTGGAAAAGAAGCAAGTCTCCACAGAAGATCAGCTGCTGCAATTACAAATGGAAAAGGCTAATATGATCCTTCGCTTCTAGGGCATGCCAGAGACTGAGAATCTAAAGGAAACGATGAGTGAAATACTGGCCCCAGTGACAGAGATGATGGCAGAACAGCTGATAAGTGATATGGATGTGGCCTATAGGTCATATTCAGGATATATAAAGAAAAATAATCTGCCTGGGGAAATTGTCGTACGATTCTTGAAGAGGCATGTGAGGGATGAAATCCTGAAAGCAGTATCTGGAGTACCCCTGAAAGTGGGGGAAAATGTCATCAGAGTACTCAAAGACATTCCATTTGGAATAAGGCAAAGGAGAAAGAAATACAAAGATCTTATTCTTTTTCTTCAGACAAATTCAATTGGATATAGATGGCTAACTCCAGAAGACGTCACCTTCAAAATCAAGGATAAAAAAGAAAAGATTGACTCTGTTCTGAAAGCTCGCGAATTTCTAAGAGTCCAGTTGGGAGGGCCAGAGGAGGACGAAAAAGAAGGGGAGGACAGTAAGTCCAGAGGTGAGCTGGACTTGGATTCTTCCGAAAAGGACTCTCTTTCAGAGAAAGGGGCAGCAGCTCCTAAAAGCCCTTATAAGTTGCGGAAGAGACGGGGCAAGGAGAAGTGAAGGCTGATGTGTACCTTTAAAAAATGTTGAATTGAGATGCTTGGGGGTATTTCTTAATAACAGTTGGATTTAAGAACTTTAAAAGATAATGATATATCTGACTCAGTTTGTAAAGGGATTAGTGGAATTAGGACTTGATGTTTGTGTAAGCTGATTAGAAGATCTCCTCTCTTGGGTTTTTAGGTATTAGTGGGTATCTTTACTTTGTCCCTAGATGTAGTCCCTTATCCTATTTCTGTTGTAGTTTGTAGTGTTTATAAAAATGTAATAAAAAAATCCCCTTCGGGGGGCTCAAAAAAAAAAGTCTCTTCTCTTATAGGTTCCAAAAGCAGACAGCTTAACAAGGTGTGTAGCAGAAAGCATGCCAGAGGAACCACGGACACTCAAAGCAAGTGAGAGATGTAAAAGTGATGGATCACTTGGGAACAGTGACCATAATGTTATTGAGTTCAACATTTGCATAAATAGGGAATTGGCCAAAAAGACTGACATAACCACTTTTAACTTTAAAAGGGGTAACTTCTCTGATAAGGGTAACTTCTCTGATATGAGGGGACATGTGAGGAAGAAACTGAAAGGAAAAGTAGAAAGGGTCAAAACCATTGTTGAAGCTTGGAAACTATTTAAAACTACAATCTTAGAAGCTCAGAAAAAATATATACCGCAGGTTAGGAAAGGTACAAACAGGTATAGAAAAAAAGCCTGCATGGTTAACAAACAAAGTATTGGAAGCTGTAAGAGGTAAAAACGATTCCTTTAAGCGGTGGAAAGCTAGTCTCAGTGAGGCTGATAAAACGGAACACAGACTATGGCAAATAAAATGCAAGTCTGTGTTCAGGCAGGCAAAAAGGGAATATGAGGAGTGTATAGCGAAAAACGTAAAGACCAACAATAAAACTTTCAAATACATTAGAAGCAGGAAACCAGCCAGGGAGGCAGTGGGGCCCTTGGATGACCAAGGGTTAAAAGGAGTAGTGAAGGATGATAGGGAAATGGCTGAGAAGCTGAATGCATTTTTTGCCTCTGTCTTCACTGTGGAAGATGAGAAGTGCTTTACCCACTCCAGAACCGCTGACTTTGGGAGGGGTGTTGAAAGACCTGAGTCAGATTGAGGTGACGAGAGAGGAGGTCCTATGACTGATAGACAACTTAAAAACTGATAAATCACCAGGCCCGGATGGCATACATCTGAGAGTTCTGAAAGAACTCAGATGTGAACTTGTGGATCTCCTGACAAAAATATGTAATCTTTCTTTAAAATCTGCCTCCTTTCCTGAGGACTGGAAGGTAGCTAATGTCACTCCCATCTTTAAAAAGGGTTCCAGAGGAGATCTGGGAAATTACAGGCCAGTCAGTCTGACATCAATACTGGGTAAGTTGGTGGAAACTGTTATTAAGGAAAGAATTAGTAAGCACATAGATGAACAAAAACTATTGAGGCAGACTCAGCAAGGGTTCTGTAAGGAAGATCTTGTCTCACTAACCTGTTAGTGTTTTTTGAGGGTGTGAACAAACATGTGGACAAGGGGGACCCAATAGATGTTGTTTACCTTGACTTCCAAAAAGCTTTTGATAAAGTTCCTCATCAAAGGCTCCTAAGTAAGCTCAGTAGTCATGGGATAAAAGGACAAGTCATTTTGTGGATCAAAAACTGGCTAATTAATAGGAAACAGAGTGAGTATAAATGGGCAATTTTCTCAGTGGAGGGTGGTAAGCAGTGGGGTACCGCAGGGATCAGTACTCGGTTGGGAGTAAGCAGTGAAGTGGCTAAATTTGCGAATGATACAAAGTTGTTCAGGGTGGTGAAAACCAGGGAGGATTGTGAGGCACTCCAAAGGGATCTGTCGAGGACGGGCGAGTGGGCGTGAACATGGCAAATGGGGTTCAGTGTGGCCAAGTGCAAGGTGATGCACATTGAAGCCAAAAATCCTAACTATAAATACACGTTGATGGCGTCCGAACTGACAGAGACTGACCAAGAGAGAGATCTTGGAGTCGTAGTAGATAATTCACTGAAAACGTCGAGACACTGTGTGACTGCAATAAAAAAGGCCAATGCTATGCTGGGGATTATTAGGAAGGGTATTGAAAACAGATCAGCCAATATTATAATGCCCCTATATAAATCAATGGTGCAACCTCATTTGGAATACTGTGTACAGTTCTGGTCACCACACCTTAAAAAGGATATTATAGCTTTGGGAAAAGTGCAGAAAAGGGCAATGCGAATGATAAAAGGGTTGGAACACTTTCCCTATGAAGAAAGGTTCAAATGCCTGGGGCTCTTTAGCTTGGAGAAACGACGGCTGAGGGGTGACATGACAGAGGTTTATAAGATTATGCATGGGATAGAGCAGGTAGAGAAAGAGGTACTTTTCTCCCTTTCTCACAATACAAGAACTCGTGGGCACTCCATGAAATTGCTGAGCGGTCGGGTTAGAACAGATAAAAGGAAGTACTTCTTCACCCAAAGAGTGATTAACACATGGAATTCACTGCCACAGGAGGTGGCGGCGGCTACAAGCATGGACGGCTTCAAGAGGGAATTAGATAAGCATATGGAGCAGAGGTCCATCGGTGGCTATTAGCCACAAGGTATAGATAGGGGCTGATGTCCCCCAGAATGTTCAGTGTAGGGGTCTCCAGCACCACATCTGACAATACCTCTGCCAACTCAGTGAGGGTGCCCACTGGGGAAGTATGTGGCTGGTAGACGAGAAGAATGCCTAATCTATCCTTAGTTCCTATTGTATGGAGCATACAGTCAGTGCCAGTGATAATCTGCACTGGAAGTCTAGAGAAGTTGAAGGACTAATGGAGGATAATAGCCACACCTCCAGGCTGACCAGTTGTGTGGGGCTGGTGGAGGACCATGTAACCAGGTGGTGTTAGTTGGGACAGACACACCACACCATTTTCTCCCAACCATGTTATCTATTTCCAAAACAATAAAAAAATGCTTTTGATAAAGTACTCTTTTTACCTTGAGAATTCTGTGGTTTCTCCCAGTTCTGTGAAGTCATCCTTCTAGCTGCTGAGTTATCGCGTTCCCTCATTCCTTCCTGATTCATTCTCCCGTCATAGTCTGGGTTGGAACCATGTAGTGATTCTGCTTAGTTCCTTGGCAATGGATACAGTATAATCTGAATTATAATCTGATGTATAGAGATTTCTGCTTTGTGCAGAAGTATGCCAGGCATGCCAATCTTTGAATTCTGTGTATAAAATGTGTACTGTTCGTCCCTTAGAAAAGGGTAAGAGTCCAGTAGCACCTTAAAGACTAACAAAATTTGTGGCAGGGCATGAGTCTTTGTTAGTCTTTAAAGTGCTGCTGGACTCTTGCTCTTTTCCACTGCTACAGACAGACTAACACGGCTACCCATATTGATCTAAGCATGTGCTTTGTAATAGTTGAAATTTCTTGGTAGTACCTGCAAAAGTCACTGTAGTTTAAACTTTTTTGGAGTGCTCATTCGCTGCACTCAAGGTTGAAAAGCCACGTGGTGCTTACTTGCACTCTCTTTGCATGGCAGATCCTTCAGTCCACAAGTGGAAAAGTGCAGCGTTAGCGCAAGAACTCCAGTACCACATCTTACCTTCATTTGCCTGGGATGGCTTCCTGTATTTCTGATTATGTGTTGAAGCACAGAAGTGGGAGTGCAGGAACCTCCGGCACGGACATGCCTAAGAGGAGGATAGGATGGGATTAAACTTCTATTTCAAGCTGCATCGCTGACCAAGTTGACCAAAATGCACACAATTCACTCTTGGGTGATGTCATGCTCAGGGGCTGGGCTGTCTGAGTGGGAAACACTTACCAGCTACTCCTCCATCCTGCCCCTGGGCAGCTTCAAGCCTGGAGGAAAACATCCCCTCTTGCTGCCAGGTGGGGGCCTCCTTCCTTTTATTTTTTGATGAGGAGTTAAGGTGATGTTCCCCCAGTAATGAAAAGCAGTCTTGGAAAAGATGTTTTTTCTGTATTTCATGCAAGGGTATGTACGTTTTGTTGCAGAGCAGAGATGGTAACCTTATCAAGGGACTGATCTAGGTTTTTCTGTTGCAACTTCCTGTGCTCCAGAACAGGAGTGGGCTAACCAGCTGTCATGGTGCTGCCTGGCTCCGGGTTGCTGCCACAGTCTTACCACATACATAGACCCTGTGAGGTAAAGGTACCCTGTAAATGCATGGAGGTGCCTGCAGCTGGTTAACCCCAGAGGCTTTTCAGCTCCACCACCTAGACTTCTGGACAGTAAAATCTTAGTGGCATAGAACTAAGTAGGCTCAGATTTATGTAAAGTATGCATAATTTCTAAATCTTCTTGTTATTCATCTCCCTAGACCGCGGGTCAAATATTCTTAAAGAAAATGTTTATTTGTGGGAAAACAGATGGCCATAAGAGCCAGAGGAAGCTTCTTATCTAAAATATGAAGGAGGGCTATGGCTGAGGGGTGGAGCATTCACTTTGCATGCAGAAGGTCCCACGTGCAATCCCCAGCATTGCCAATTAAAAGGATCAGGCAGTAGGTGATGTGAAAGACTTTTCCTAAGGCCCTGAAGAGCCACTCCCAGTCAGACTAGACAATGCTGACCTTGATGGGTCAGTAGTCTGACGTTATAAGGCAGCTTCATGTGTTCATATATATGTTCATTTTCTGCGGTTAGTCATTGAAGGCTACAGAAAGCTAAGATGTTTATTGGTCTGTTTTGGACAGAAATAGTTTGATTTGGAAGAGCAAATCAGCTTTTCTGTATGACAGTAAAATCAAGTAAAAATGACATTCTCCTTTGTTAATAGAATTCTTAGTTCAGGCAAAACAAATGATCACGCAGAGAAATCTTAGTTTGGGTGAAACTACTGTTTGCAATGGGACAGTTGGCTCTGTGTGGCTTAGTTCCATTTTTAAATTAGGTAGACATCTGAGACCCGAAACATTTGTAAAGAAGAGGGCTGTAATCTAGTAGGAGTCAATTTGCACTTGTTAAGATGAGTCTGCGGGGAATATCTGGTCTGCCAGCAGAAGACAATGGATGTGTGTAGTTAGTGTAAAGAAAAGAAAAAAACGTGATCGCTCAGTGTGGCATTTCACAACCTTTTTGCCTAAAGGAAAGCAGCAGGCAAAATGAAAACTTCATGGCTATGCTGGAGACAGCTTGGCTAGTGCAACACAGATAAGCATATGTGTGTATCTAATGTTGCATAGTGGTAGGGTTAAGGGTGACACGGAGCAATTCCAAAGCCGGTCTACTTAGAAGTAAGTAAATGGGGCTTATTCCCATGAGAGTGTTTTTAGGAATATAGCCTGGTGGCTCAGAGATAGAGATGTGCACCAGGAAACACGTGGTCCAAATGTCACTTCTGTCGTGTATTCACTAGATGGCCTTATTCAGTAAGCTACTCAGCCTCAGTCCACCATCTGTACTATGGGAATATATAATACTAGTCTGTCTCACAGGGTTTTTAGAGGATTACTGAGAAAATCTTAAATATTATGTGTTTAACATAATTGTTAAATATGTTATGGAACCCCACATTCTGCAATCAGGATTAATACTCAATATGTCTGTTTCCCAGCCACATCATATAGGATATGCTTGATAGAGCTGCAAAATGGAACTAGGGACAGAGCCAAGGTATCTCTACAAATCTGAAGGAAACCCCAAGTTTACAAAAAAAAAATCTAAAAAAATAAACACACCACACTAGGGGATTAAAACTCCCCAGAATAACAAATAATGCCTGTAGCTTTAAGAAAAGAATGCCCACTGAGTTTCCAGTGGTAGTAGGGAGTTGCTAGGTAACCACAACAGTATTGCAAAGCCATAGGGGTGCAGGAGTGGACTAAGAGGCCAAAACAACCCTGGAAAGGGCTCTGTTGTCCTTTCACTGTCTTATGTTCCATGATGGAGGAGGATTCAACTGGGGACAGGACCAATGGCAAGCAGTGTTCCCCCTAAGCTGAGTTAGTATGAGCTACCTCAGTTTTTTAGCCTCTAGCTCACACATTTTTGTCTTAGCTCAGGATGGATGGCTCCAGAGCAAACTAATTTATGCAGTAGCCAAATCACTTGCTCACAACTTTAATGCCAGTAGCTCACAAGACTCCACACCTTAGAGGGAGCATTGAAGGCAAGTACCAGAAACTCACTACCCAACCAACTTGCCATAGCCTGGTGGTAGCCTCCACATTACCCAGTGCCAGTTGCCACAGTCCAGCCAGACTTTTCCCAGGGAGAGGCTTTTCAGGGTTAGGGAAGGAGGAAGAGCTGAAGCCACAGGGGCAGATAAAGTTAGGTTGACTGGTAAGTGGGAAAGAGAGAAGGAGGCTGGCCCATCAGTGGCAGCCACTGCACGACTGGGCATGGCCAGGTACTAGTAGAGGCCATGGTGCAGATGGGGCAGATGAAGGTAGGTTGGCTCATGGGTGGGAAGGAGAAGAGGAAGCAGGAAAGGGGGGGAGACTGTGGAGGCTGCGAGGGAAGTGAAAGAGTAAATAGTGGTGGATGGGAAAATGAGATGCCCATGAGCAAGTCCTTGCTTGTCCCCCACTTGTACAGATTGGTTCTATAGGTGTTTTATATACATTGTTCCTTTGTGAGCTAGGTTGTCAAAGAGTCACGTGCAAAATGTTAACTGTTTTAGATTGTTACTTTAATGTGTGTTATGGTTTGCAGTGATAAGTTTGTTACGGTCTGTAATGGTATGTTTATGTATATTCTCCATAGGCTTAATGCTATAAATGAATTCATACTGTAGATCCCAGCCATGTTCAGGGTAGGTTATGTTTGCCCATGAAGGAGGCATGAATAGCATTTATCTAATGTTGCATAGTATTAGGTCTGAAGAGCATCATCTTCTATGGTAACAGTTGTGTGTTGTTAGGAGTTTGCCCTGCCTTGTTCATTGTCAGTGAATTGTGAGGGTCCTAACAAAAGAACGTTAAGGTTTCTTCATAACTGTGAATGGCTCCCTAGATGTGCAGTTCTTCTGCAGTGATTGGTGTTTACATGTGTTTGAGAAAAAGAACTTTTGCAGTTAGATTGGGCAGAGAGCGTGAGAGTTTCTGGGAGTGCAGATTTAAAGGGGGGGGGAGAGTTTCTGGGGGTGCAAGTTTATGGCCACAGCTGCTTTCTAGAAATGTGATGGCGTCTGTTTATATGAGCACATTTGCCTCCACTGTGTTCTGCTTGTACATTTGTAAATAATAATAATAATAAATAAATAATAAAAATAAATAATTGTAAATAATAATAAAAATAAAAAATGTGTACATAAAGCACATTTTACAAAAACACCACAAGTCTTCAGTGCTCTTTCATCCAAGGGAAACCAAGCCCAGCAGCACTGTCCCTGGAACTTCTTAGTGCAGAACACCACTTTGTTCTGCTAATGAATCATCACTAATTGAATTTACGCTGGGGGGGGATACCCTTTCCAATTTCACTGCCTCACTACTTAACAAATGATAAATATTAGTAGCAGAAGCAGAATTTCCATCTTTCTGTCCAAGTGTTGGCCTTTTGCTAACATCTCCATTTTACTTGCAGTAGAAAGTGTACATAAATGCTAAATAATAACAATTGTGTGTGTTTCCCCTTATAGTATCAACGTGCAGGTGGTGAATTCGCTTGCAAGAGAGAGCAGCAAAAAAAGTGATTAAGTTGGGGCAAAAATTTGTAAGTTTGGAAAGTTGCCTCTGCTAAAAAAGAAAAAAAGAAACCATTGCATAGAACTTCCTGTTAGTCCCAGGTATTCCTGTTTGTGATAGCCAGTAGCTTTAATATGTGATTAAAATGGTGGCAGCCACCCCGGAGTTAGGTGCCAGGTTGGCAGCCTGTGTCATGTTGCCTTGTAAGGCAACCGGGACAGTTCACACATGGACATATAAATAGAAGTGGCAATTCAGCAGCTATTTTTAACCACCGGAACAGCCATAGAAATGTAGGGTGGCTTTACTTTTTTGTGCTTGTTACCTGACCTGAAGGCATCAGCTGCTGTGGATTTTGGCAAGCTTGCGACACCACAGGCAGCGGCAATGCAAACATCCTACACACTGATCCAGCCCTTTCCTAGGAGGACCATTTTTGGCAGCAAGCAAAGTTTGTTGCTTGTACATAGTTGTTGCGCTTAGATACTCATGGTTAGTAGTTTCCATCATAATGGACACATGACAGGTACAAGCTCCACAGGCATTGCCAGCCAGCGTGGTCGAAATAGCCATCAGATTGAAACACTTCTGGACCAATTCAGTCTTTCATCTTGCAGGCTGAGATGATGTTCAAGGAGACCCATCATAAGATCAAACTTTTCCTTGGAAATGGTGTCCTCGACTCATTGTAATTAAAAACTAAGCAAAGATCTGCGTGTGAAGCATTTGAGTTTCCTTAGGTGTTTCTGTTCTGCTTTTGAGAATTTTGTTTTGTGTATGCCTGTAGTATTGCCTGTGTGTGTTGGGGTCCCCCCTGCCATTTTAATATTCTGGTTCAGTCTACTTACAGGATTATATACTGTTTTCCTGCTTTTTCCTCAGTATACGTGCTGAATAGCAAGATGAGTGTACCTCCTGATGATGTGGGAGAGACATCCATATACTTCTCACTTGGGTACTTGCAATGCGTTTTGCTTTCCTGAGAAGCTATTCCTTTTGCTGCTGTCCCACTGTGTTCTCTTAAGGGTGTGTCAACTGTGTGCTACTGAATTTTGCTTGTGCAGCTTGTCTAATCCCCACAGTTCATTCTGACTGTACCTTGATTAGAAAGTGCTTTAGAAATAAAATGATCATCTGTTGCACCTGCTAAAAGCTTTAGTTTGTGCAGGCCCTCCATTCCACTGGGAGGCAAAGAATGACTGTGGAGCCAGAGAAGGTTGTGCAGCTACCTGGGCTTAGTGTGGACGCAACTCCAGCTCTCCCTAGTTCAGGAGCCGGTCGTGGAATCTTGTATTCTACAGTTCTCTCCCCGGAGTGAAAACCCATATGCCTTCACCTGATTTATAAATGCAGAACCAGCATTAACCAGAGTTGCTAATCAGGTTCCCTGCTAAGCCAGGGTTTGAAGTTGGTTAGCAAGCCAAGTTTAAGAGGGTGTCAGGCTAGATTGCACCACCTTTCTTGTAAAATACAAAAATGTTGTTTTCCTTATACAGTCCTGGGGGATGAACCTGCAAAAGGATTGTGTAGTGGCATTCGTTTTGGATTATGTCTTTAGATTTGGAAGACTTTGCTGGTGGTGACATTGAGTCAAGCAGCAGTGCTTAAGGAGTCTCCTAGGAAATGATACAGGAAAGATGATGTTCAGCAGTCATTATCTTTAGGGGATGTGGGTGGCAGATGCTGGAACCAGTTAGGCACATTTGAAATGCCCTAAAACACAGATATGGGGAGAAAAAAACGGGTGAAAGGAAAGTTGTCATTAAAAAAAAATTATGAGCCAAAACTATATATTTCCCAGCAGAAAGTTCAAATGACTTTTTTTTCCCCCCCCAGTATAATTTTTTGGCTGCTTTCTCTTAAGGCTCCATAGATATAAAGCATTTTTCTACAGTTCATAGGAAATAGTTGGAAATTGCACAGCTGTAATGAGCAACTATGAATCTCCAAAATTAAAGTGGCATTCTTTGTTTCCCCATTTAGTACTTACAATACGGGGTTTATAAAGGAAGCTGTGAGGTGGGAACGTGCTTTCCCCGGCATGTTACCAATAGAAAACTAAGGCAAAAGGACCACTGTGATCCTAAGTGATTGTTGAGCTTGCCTGTAATCCCAGCATGTTGTTGTTGTTTTTTACAAGCAGGGCCAACCTAATGGCATTCCTTTATTTCTTTTATACACAGCTTCTTGCTGAAATAATTTTGTTCTGATAACATGCTGACACAGCAGTTATTGTTCTCTAGACTCTTGGGGTTCAGCTATATTACAGGCTTAAACTGGTTTGCTATAGTCAGTTCCTTTCCCTAGGGTACCCTGGGAACTGTGGTTCTTTGAGGCGGGGTTAGGGATTTCTGTCAGAGAATTATCAGCAGCTTTGCCAAACTGCAACCCCCAGAATTCTTTGGGGGAAGTCATGGCCATTAAATTGATATAAAACTGATGTAAATTTGTATGGCTGATCACTTGCAGGCATATCAGTTGTCAGGACTGGGTTTGTGGTAACTGTTACTAGATAAAACAGTTAATTAGAGAGTTGAACCTTCTCATTTGTTTAAAGTAAACTAGCTTTCATTAACTGGTCTTTCAGATTAGGATTGCAGCAGGCTCTACATACCAACGAGCCAAACCTCTTTTCATTCTAGGACATCTAAAGCTACAGTGTCTGACCAGATGGCTGTCTAGCCTCTGTCCCAGTGATGGACAGCTGTCCCTTCACCCTGATAATAGATTCTGTTGCTTCCTTTTGATTGGACAAGCATAATCTACCAAGGGAGAGCTCCCTCCAGGTGCCATCCCTTTCTACAAGATGGACAGTTGCTATTGCATAGCACTATAGTGGCTTCTCTGCCTTCTGTCCATAAACCAGAAGGCTACAAAGGGATCAGGACCATGTAGTCACCACAGGTCTGCAGTGTGCGATTGCAGTGCTTCACTAATGCAGTTGCTTTGGACTCCTCTGCCTAATAACATCAGATGGGCAGTCACCATAGCTACCATCTCTGCCTCCATCACCATCTCCCTTAGACTTGACAGGCTCTTAGGGTTTAAGAGGAGTGAAAACTAATATTCTGTATTGGCTCAAGTGTTAGGTTTGGATGCTGGATGCCAGGTTCCAAATTCATGTACATCCTTGGAAACTCCTTGAGTGCCTTTGGTTGAATTTAGTCAGATCTCTCATCCCAGCTTACCACACTGGTTTTTAAACTGCCACACTTTTTGGCATGGGGGAGGAAGCATGGGAATAAAACTTCAGTAAGTGTATTAAAAATTGCAGTGGGGATTAAAACTCTGTGGATAGTTTCCCCTTATAGCAGGAAGCCAAGGAGCCCATTTACTTCTTCTGCTTCCCTTGAACTGAAGACCAATGGGTATGTGGCCATGAGAACTGCTATGCTACCACTGCCCCAGAGTTTGTGTGCAACTTCCTGTCTTCATTCTATTTTAAATTGCCAATAGCCCTTAAGGCTGAAGGAAGACACAGATCTCTGTAGGCAACCAGACACAATTGCTGGCAGCTTTGGTGTCTGTGTGTTTGCTTGCAAGCGCCATGTTGAACACAGGACAGTGCTATGCTGGCCATACAGCCAGTTCTCCCTGAACTGGTATGGGGCTAGTAGCTCTTTAAAATGGCAATGAGAAAGAGAGAGCATGCTCCACACTTTGCTGTTTTGGTGTCCCTGATGAGTGGCCACTTACAGAACTGTGTCCTTCTTTGCTGGGTAGGAGAATGAGCCCGAGGTCTCCATAAGTCACTTTATTTTCTGTCTAAGAAATAGCTTGCAAGTAAGACAACAACTCAGCACTTCCTTATTGAGGAGGAAATAATATGTGAAAAAATATTAAAGGCCTATTTAACCAAAGTGTTGGAGGAAAGTGCCGTCAAGTCACAGCCGGCTCATGGCGACCTCATACCCCCCAATACTGTCCTTTCTGTTCTCTGCTAGTATCTATATCTGGCAGTGATATCACATTGTTTGAATGTTTAAAAAGTAAACATTGAGTTTCCAGTTTCTTTTGTAAGGATGCTTCAGGGCTATAGGTAAGTAGATGGAATAAAACAGTTGGGAGGTGGTGTGGGAAAAGTCTGTTTAATTGCTCTGTGCAGTACTGAATGTAGTGTTCAGGAGAATGCAAATGGGAGACTTATTTAACAAGGGGGGGTGTCTGTTTATTTGTTAAATCCAGCCTTGGTGGTAGGGACACAATGCTGTTTTCATGCCTACTGGGGGCAATATGTTCTCTGCACATTATGAGGGGTGGGAAGTCCTTAGCAAGTGGATGTTTCATTCATTTGAGAGCCTGTGTGGAATTTGGTGTGTTATCTGTTCGCTGCTTGAAAACTCTCCTGTTTGGGGCTTTGTGCTTGTAAGACGAATGCCACTTACACTGGGTAGAGTCTTTCTGTTTTTTAAAGGTATGCTCCAAAGCTGATCTGAGGTGTCCTCCTTTTCTCAGGTCGAAAGAGATTTTGAACGAGAGTATGGAAAGCTTCAACAGTAAGTGTTTTTAACTGGCTTCTTGTGGAGGATGGCCCTTGTTCTTCCTCTCCATTCCCTGTATTTCCGTCTTGCCCTTCTGTCCCGTGTTGGTCTGGCACTGCCTGCTGAGACTGAGGGCCTTTTCATAAATTACAGAGGGCCTTCACAAAAGAATGACCTATGTTATTCCCTTTTGTTGTACATGCTCCTGTGCACTTGCGCATGGCTCTACACGTGCACACCACTGGGAAGTCAGTAGCTGTTCACCACCTCGATGGCAAGAATAAATGCAGGGCTTTACACTGGTGTAGCCCATTAAATCTTGCACACAAGTGCTTTTCGTGAAGAGATTCTGAAACCTTCAAAGTGGCCCCCATCTCTGCCCCTCCAGCCTTCCCCATTGCTTCCTTTCATCTCTCCCATATTGCAGGTGAAAATCCAGCTGCTACCCCACTGCTGTCACCTGCTTTTCTTCCTTCTTACGTCTTCAGAATGCCCCTTTAGCAAGAATGTCCTCATCACAAATGGGTTCTTTAAAAAAAAAATGAAAAACTTAATTTGCTGTTTTAGGTTGGAAGATCAGACTAAGAAGCTTCAGAAGGACATGAAGAAAAGTACAGATGCAGACCTGGGTAGGTAACGTTGATAAGCTTAGTGGGAACAAAGGCTGTGGGGGATCTCTTGCATTGTGGAGCTGCAAATTTACCCATAGTGTCTTTTGAGAGAACTCTTAAAAGAGGCAGCTTTACTTAGTTACCTAGCGAATGAGTGTAAATGGATAGCAAATCCTGGGAGTCCTGGTTAATGCTTGGTTTCGCTCAGTTTGGCTGTGACACAGTGATAGGCGTAGGAAGCAGTGAATAAGTTGCTCCCTCTTAAACTGACACCGCTGTTGGCTCAAAAAAGAGTAGAGTTGGACATCTGGCATGCAGGTGTGTTCTTTAGCACACTGGTTCCATCACGCTGCATTACTAGTTTCTGTGGTAGGAACCCCATTCCACTGCATCACACAGTACAGGGTTTAAACAAACAGACTAAACAGTCTGACAGTAAAGGGCTTGGGGGAAAAGGAAATTTAGTAATAACCACTTAGCAGGGTATGGCTGGGATGTCTTTCAAAATGCCTTGGAGGGTTGCATATATTGTGCCATAGCTGATAGTTATAGGACCAAAATATGTGGCCCCTAATTCTTTTGGTCCGCCCTCCCATACTTTATTTCTCTACCCACTCCCAAGCACTGGGAAAAGGTGGCCCTTGTGCAGAAGAATTAGGTTGTATGAAGCCTGAATCTGGAAACTTCCAAAGCCCCCCTTTTTCCTGGCAAAACAAGTGGCAACTTTTGTATTTGGCTAAATGTATATTATCTGTAGTCTCCTGTCTCCTTTTTCCGAATGTGGATAGCAGAGCTTTGGACATGTGGCGTTTCCCGGGGGCTGATGATGATATGGAAGGCAGGATAAAAATGTTAAAGTCATTTGTTTAAAGAAAATTAATCTTGCAATCAAACTCCAATTAAACATGAGTGAATCGTGAATAGTTTATATTATTTTCTGAGAAGTCAGGTTTGCATGGCTCTGTCTCTGACCAGTGATGCTAAGAGTAAATGAGCACAATTTTGCAGGCAGACATGGCTTCAAGTATATGGTTCCTGCCATTGATGGTGGCTATCTGGATATCTGGATTATGCCAGTTCTGCCTAATATACCTGTGTGCTGGATGTGTTGTTCAGGTAGAAGATTGTGCACTTGTGCAGCTCAAAGCCTGTAGACCCAGTCTAGGCAGTCATAGCTCGAAAGGCAGTCATAGCTCGAAAGTGACTCTGCATGTGTCCAACTCTGCATGTTCCCTTTTCAGTTGTAATGTCCAGTGTGCAGGCCAGGTTAATTGCGGTCCTTACCATTCATGGGCTGCACGCACACAGAGCTAATGACTGCACAGGGGATGTAATCGTGGAGTAACTAGGAATTTGGTGTTTCTACGCGTGTAGGGCTCATAAAAAGCACAGATGTTCCAGGTCTCAGAGAAACAATTCACAAGGCTTTAAAAAGTCCTAAGATTCTTCCAGTAAGATTTTCCTTGTAGAAGATTCCTTTCCCCTCCCTTTGAGTGGGTGGTTTTATATGGAGCACTTGAAGCCCCAAAGGAGCTGTGGGAGGACTGTCTTTCTCCCCCCTTTAGCTTTATGGCATCATCACAGATTAGCTCAAGCTCTGTCCAGATACCAAGAGACGATTTTGCATTTAGAGGCATGTCATCCTGAATTATGGAGTGAAGATGGAAGGGTGGTTTTGGGTTTTTTGTTTTGGCTTTTGTTTTGCCTGTCCCTCCTTCTAGTAAGTGGAAACTGGGACAAACCCAAACCTTGACCACATTCAAGTCTTTTGGAGGATCCTGGCTCGATGTAGCTAGAGTGAGAGGGCTTGCGTTTGCATTTCCCAGATTCAGCAGAGGCCTGGGCAGGATGTGAGCAGTGCTCTGGGTTGGGTTTTTTTCTTTCGGTCTCCTATGCTTCCCATTGCATCCCAGTGATGGATAGTGGATTCTTTACTCTGCCTGCACTGGTAATGTTTGAGTTGGTCAGCCGTTGGTCAAAATGTCCAGCTTCTGTTGCTTAGCAACTCTGGTCCTCCCTACTAAATAGGTCCTGGGTGCACTGACTACAGCAACACAGGCAGGTGCTTCAGTAGCTTGTGCATGCACAAGAGTGAAACTTCAGGAACATTGCCACAAAAGTGGTGTGTGGAGAAATAGACTGCACCACGCCTCCACATGGAGATGGTGTCCATTGTGCTTAGGGATCCCAAGTCCCCCCGGGGGGGGGGGAACCCCGCCCCAGAGGCCCGTTCCCCGGCGCTGCCGGATCGGGCCCCGGGAGGAACTCCTCCCCGACGTGCGCGTCACCCGGAAGTGACTCTATGGTTTTCCCTTGTATGGCCGTGGCCCCACCCCCAGCATGCCTGGCGTCCTCCCGTCACTTCCGGGTGATGTGCGTGCGGCGCGTGCATGCGCGCGCCAGACACCAGCCGGGAGCCCCCCGCTCCCGGCGAAGATCAACTTGGCAACCCTAATTGTGCTTCTGCTTTCAGTTTGTCTTGCTAAATCACGCAGTGGCTCCTTGGAGCATTTGATCTGCAGTGCTCTGTTTTCCTTTCCTGGTTTATTTTGGTGGCCTTTAGCTTTTAGTTTCTGATGACTTCATTTTTGAGAAAAAATCTACAATAAATAGATTTTAGGTTTCTGAGTTCACCTTCCAGAAACTTTCATTCCTCTACCCCATTAGGCATTGCTGTAAAGAAAGAGGGATCCAATTGAGTGTTCTTTATGCAGGTTATGCCTCTGTGGATCTTTTCCTTGTGGCACAAAGCCAGTTTTATCTTCCCTTAAATAATAGGGATTGCATGAGATAATTTTGATTTGCTGAAAATTAGTTTCTCAATGCTTTCTAGGTTATGTGAATTGTATATCCAGTAGGGAAATGATACTTTTTGATGTTTTTATTGACATCTTTACAGATTCTAAAGGTTTTTCATAAAGTTTTCACTTAGGGATGTGGTTTATGCAGCGTGTGACACAGAAAGCAGCCATTATAAATTTAAATGGTACTTCCTAGAAATGTAGTAGGTAAATTTAGAATGAAAGACACAAACTGTTCTCTTCTCATGAGCAGACTTGGTTTGATAATTTGTGTGTGCTGTCACCAGTTGCCATCTTTGCCTCAAAGGGAATTTGGTAAAACTTCGATAACGTGGCAATTGATGGCTACCCTCTTAGGGATAAGGTTCCTCGAAGCATAGGGATAGGGCCTGTCCAACACAAGGAGGTAGTAAACACTAGTAAGTTTTTTTTGTGTGCAAAACCAGCTATTTAAAAGGCATGATATTTACCCATATTGTTTTAACAAAGGGAGGCAAAACGTTTCTTGGGAAAGTGGCTTACATTAGCTGCAGGCGACGTCAGTGGAGAGCGCAACCACTGTTATTTGAATCCATGTTCTGGTAGACCAGCTCATTGTTTATTTGCCCAGCTTTGGTTCTCTAGGTGGACCGTTTCCTGTCTAGAGAAAAAAGCCAGCCCCCCCTCTCCCCACTTTTTTCAGTTTTTCCAGTAGAAAAATTGGAAAACGTTGTTGATCATGGTTGGGGGAAGCCTCCTGTGAACTATTTTCTCTTTTGGAATGAGCGTAATGCTTCCTAAGGCAATGTTTTATTCAAACTGTATAGTGTGGAAATTGTTATTTAAGACAATCTACAGCAGGGGTGTCAAACATGCAGTCCGGGGGCTGGATGAAGCCCCAACAGGGGACTTCTATCAGGCCCACAGTGGAACTGGCTGTCTTCTGCTTCTTCTTCCAGTTCTGCTGCTGCTGTGTAATTTTAGGTTTGCTGCTTACAGATACACACCTGAACAGCATACTCAAGATTGCAACAGCACAGACATTTTGATGCAGTAATTCAGAACAAGAGATGTCAGTTCTCAGACACTGTTAAATAAACAAAATATTGCAAGAGTGCTAATGTTTTAAGCATGTTTTTATTTTAAGTTAAAAAAAACCTTTGTGTTTGTGTCCTTTATAAAGTATCTCCGCTACCTGGCAATACATTTTATGACACACATGGTTTGGCCCAACAAAGTCTCATTTATGTCAGATCCGACCTTCATAACAAATGAGTTCGACAGCTCTGATCTACAGCATTAGATAATAATAATTCCTGTGTATACTGTAGACATATACAACGTATTATAAAGAATATGCTTATTACTTCGATGTGAATAAATCTGGTGACAATCAATGATAATGCATTATTAAACAGAACAAAGTTTGATTCCAGTGACACCTTTAAGACCAACAAAGTTTTATTTATTTATGTTGGTCTTAAAGGTGCCATGGACTCAAACTTTGTTCAGCTACTTGTATCTATCTACATTATTAGTTTGGCATTTAAATGTTATAAAATTTATCTGGATATCCTAATATTCTGGTAATACTCCCTATTATGACAATGAAGGTATCCCTTTCCAAATAAGACCCTTAATGTTTACTGCAGAATTTGTTTTCCACTTTGATTTTTTTCTCTAGCTCTGAGATGGCAAAAATTAAGACACATGTGCTAAGGTAGCATAGGGTACAACAGTTTGCAACTCTCTATCAAATATTGGCTATACTTGCAATTTTTCTTACAGAGAACTAAGACATAGATATATATATTTTTTTAATTCCATAAATACGCCAGATAGTACATTTTTATATGCTGAGCCATACATGATGCATTTATGTTTGTTAAATCAATCAAATAAATTTAGGTTTGATAGGAGAGCAAGTATTACATTGTTGTTCAGTCGCACAGTCGAGTCCGACTCTTCGCGACCCCATGGACAATCTCCCGCCAGGCTCTCCTGTCTTCCGCCGTCCTCCGAAGTTGGCTCAATTTCATGTTCGTTGCATCGCTGAGATATAGATATATAATATATATATAAGATATAGATATAGATATATAATTTTCCTAACATTTCTGCTTCCTCCCCCTCCCCCCCCCTCAAAATCTCCTGAGGTTTTACTTAAAAGGTGCAGTGTAGTCCTTGCAGATCTGTGTGAGATGATATCCTGTGCATCTTTTCTTGGATGCCGGTCCCTCTGTTTTCATAGGGGCTTTCTTTCTGATAAGCGTGCATAGGATTGGAGCTTAAGCAGAAACCTTTGCTTTACCTGCATTATCTTGTCACTGCTGCCACAGGATAATTTTTGTAGAGCTATTGGAAAGCTTTAATAGGTTCTGATTTTCACTGTGAGGGAGGTGTGGTAAGACTCAGCAGTGTTTAACAGTCTGTTGGGAAAAAAGCAAGCTCTGAGTGTCTAGCCACGCCGTGCCTGTTTTTAAAAAGAGTCTTACTTTTTCAGCATTATGAAATGTGCATTTAAACAGTATGGACTTGATTACATATGAACTATTATCTCGGTGTTTACACAAATGCATTAATAGCTCTTCCTTCAAGCCATCCGTTAATGTTCTTGGAAGGTTTCCCATTAGCATTGAATGCAGAGTGTACTATCAGCTCTTTACATCCTGGGTTATTTTTGTAGGCACAGGAGAATTAATGTGTTCCTGAAAAGAGACTGACACACTTGACCCATCATCTACACCATCTAAGCCAGTTCAGTGTATTTGATAGGCCTTGGGATGGTGAGATTTGGTTTCCAATTGCTCACCTCTCTGGATAGCCCATGGCAAGTTATGTGGAAGTGTTAATTCCCCACTTTTCAAACGGCTGTACTAAAAACCTACCTGCCAGGTAATGATGAGGATAAATGGGAGAATTGACTGATCTGTAGCATATTGGCGAGTTCAAACCTTGCCTCTGCCATGAACTCACTAGATAACCTTAGGCATATCATTTTTTCTCTCTCAGCCTTAGGGACTCTCAGCAAGCATACACGCACATACACAATAGAGCAGGGGTGGCGAACACGCGGCTCTCGAGCCGCATGCGGCTCCCGGCCAAAATGAATGCGGCTCTTTGCCCGGCGCTCCCTCGGCGGCTTCCAAGCGACACATTCCGGGGAGAGGGCGTCTTTCGGCCGCAGGCGAGCCAGGGCGGCTCTCCGAGGCCGAGGACGCCGCGCTCTGCTCGGAGGCGCTGCGCCCGGCGCTAAGCCAGAAGCTGGCCGGGGGCGAGCGAGGAGCTGCGGCCGCCGGAGGAGGCGGCGGCGGCGAGAGGGAGCGAAGGGCCCTGCCGGCGGAGGGTCGGCCCGGGCTGGGCGCGCCCCGGGATCGTCGGCCGGAGGGAAGGTGAGGGCTCGCCAGGAGCGCTTCCTTGGCGCAGGGCGGTGCGCTCCCGCCGGGTGCCTTACCTTGGCTGCGGCGCGCTGGCCTCGCTCGGGGCGGCAAGAAGCGCGGGCGCGGGGCTGGCCGCCGAGAGGGCTCTCCCAGAGCGCGGAGAGAGGGGCTCCGGAGGCGACCTGGCGGGGCAGACCCCCCCTCTCCCCCGGCAATGGTCCCCTGCAGGATTTCCAAGCGCGGGGAGGGCTCTCCTCTCTCCCTCCCCCCCCCCACTGCCCCGAGCCACTGCGTGGTGTGGCTCTCTGACTCTTACAGTTTAAAATTTTGGCTCTTTTTGTCGAACTTGTTCGCCACCCCTGCAATAGAGGTACAATTTGTTTGCCATACAATACTGTTGTGGCCGAGGTAATGCTTGTGAAGCACTTTGAGTATCATGAAGTACCAGGTATTTTCATTATTTTCATTTATGTTGCCCACAGGTATCTGAAGCCCGGCTGTACACACATGGTGGCAGACTGTTTTTAATGTCTGTCCAGTCCCACCAAACTGTTTTACCTTGCTAAACTTTAGGTACAGCATTCAGACACAGGAGAGCTATGTTCTTCAGTAACTGATGATGAACTTTGCATGGGTGCAGACAAAACCATGAACCAATCAATGGGGAAATTACATACACACTAGACAAGAACCATCCTAAAAATGATTTTTTCAGCAATGGTCCATCGCTAGTGTAAGTGTGGTATTAATTGTTCAATAATGTCTGTTTTTGAGCCCTGGGAAAAATTGCACAACTTCCAGTCCCTGACAGAATCTCTCTCTTCCTGGGCTCTGTCCCAACCGCAGCAATGTCGAAGTCAGCTGTGAAAATCTCCTGTGACTTACTGTCCAACCCACTCTGTGAGCAAGACCCTAAATTTCTTGAGATGGTGACAGCTTTGGATACTGCAATGAAGAGAATGGATTCTTTCAACCAAGAGAAGGTAAGATTTGAGCCCTTTCAGTCTTGTCCACACTGGTTGTGAACATTCCATTTTGTTTCTCTCTTCGGAGCCTGCAGTCACGCACACTAAATAATCCACTTTCAATCCACTTTCCAGCTGGATTCTGCCAGTTCACACAGTAAAACTCCAGTTGTAAAGTGCACTGAAAATGGATTGAAAGTGGATTATTGTCTTGTTACTAGAACTTTATTGTCTTCCACCAGAGGATGTACAAGTCTGCACGACTGTGATTGTATTGCAAACTGCAGATTCTGATGTCCAGCCGTGTGTGTATCCTTCAGAATTTTTATACTCTGCACATAAAAAAAACAAAAGGAGTATAAAGGAGTATAAAACTCTGAAGACTGCTTGTCAGCTCGCTGCCATAAAGGTTGGAGTGGAGGGGGAAGGGTTTCTTTGGAATGTAACTTTCACTTTCTTGGTGTCTGGGTGATGCTCCCTTTTCTGTATAGTTTATGCGAATGACCTGGGTTCCTTGGTTCCTAGCTGTAGCATCATCCTCTGGGAACAAGGGGCTGTTAGATTCTGACGGGCCCCACTTCTTACCTTGATTGGCTCTCTGCCGCCTTGTGCCCTTCTTTGAACCCCGTATATCTATCTACCCCGCGCTTTTCCCGTTAGTCTTAACACAGATCCTGAAGTAGTGACGTTCTGCCAATATTGATCAATAAACATCTCTTCTAAAGAAGCAAGTCATTGATTCTGATTGTTGCATGAATAATATGGTCCTATAATAAATCTGGGAATGTCTGTGTACAGATTATAGGAGCTGTCAATACAAAGTGCCAGTCCTTGCTGCTTTAGATGGACCATAGGGCCTTGCCTGTGTATTAATTCAGCAGGCAGTTCTTCAACATTTGTGGTGCAGAGACATTGCCATAAAGGCCGGTATCACAGCCTGCTCATCACACACCGTTCTTGTCTTCTGGGAGTGAGTGGGCCAAACTCAAGGGAGATAGCTGATGCTTGCTCTAAGTTAGAACTTTACTAAACTTAATGGAGTGGAGAGGAGTGTTCTGCCCTGGGAGTTCAGCTTCTGCCTCTGAGCACTTAGCCATAATTACTGTTTGTATTGTGATCTTGTCATAAGACTACTTGAATAGGGCAGGCATAGTTCAAACAGCTTCTCTTCTCTTATTTTTTAAAAATTGTTCTTCTTCCATCAGGTGAACCAGATCCAAAAGACAGTCATAGAGCCCTTGAAAAAGTAAGTAGCAACATTTTTATGTGCATTGGCATGTGCTTTTGCAATCCTTATGGAGGAAAGTACAGGAGATGAACAATACATTTCCCCTCCCCAGGTACTCCTGTGGCATCCACACAGGTGTGTGCAGTTTTCAATATCTAGCTTGTGTTTTGGTACAAAAGCCCCTAAATTTCTAGCACTCATTGCTACAAATAGAGGTTTGAAAATGTAAAAGCTGAAAATGTAAAATATTAGCAGCAAAATATTAAGAAGTCTGTATGGATAATTATTCATTTCCCCCTCATAAGCTGCTTTTCTACTTTTAAAAAAGTCCCCGAAGTGCATACAAATGAAGAACTCCAAAATCAGTTTAAAACGATCAGGGGGACGGGGACAAGGACAAACAGGAATGTCTTAACTTTGTGCTAAAACTGGGGTCCCCAACTGTTTTGAACCTGCAGGGACATTTGGAATTCTAACACGGCATGGTGGGCACACCTGTAAACTTACCTTCAGTCACACAGTGAAGATCTTTGTGCTGTGGTGGCAGGTGAAAAATCTGCACAGCCTATCAAATCTCCCATGGTCAGTCAGAAGCCTTGCTGGGCAAAACCCCAGTCTAATCCTACCCACTTTTTAAAAACACTTGATGGTTATCAGGAAAGGTATTGGCTGGTAGCATGGTGAGGACCACAGCACTAGAAAAACTGCAATATATTTTTTTCAGCATATCATTTTGTCACAACCCATGACTTGTACATTCTTTAAAAACACATACACACAGACAAGGCTGACAACTTCAAAACAGAAATGTGATCAAATAAGCGTCGGGTAAAATTGCATCCAGACATCATGCTGAACCATAGTTTGCTTAAACGGTGGTTTATGCGGCAAATTCTGCTTTATCTACCAGATATAAATACCATCCAGGTTTTGTGTATAAGCCCTGATTTTCAGGTTTTCTGCAGCTTGTTTCTTCTCAGCCTCTCACCAGGGAAGGCATTTTCCTTGTACTTCTGTCTCGGTGGTTATGTGGCCATAAGGGAGGCAGTGCCACTCAAGAAACTGTGGTTTGTAAATTCAGATGTTACCACAAACCACTGTCCATTATAAGATGACCCACAAACTCACAAGTTGGAGTTTGAACCCATTTTGAATTTTCAGTTTTGTGTCAAATTTGTGTTATTTGATCAAGATGAAAGTCACTGGTAGAATGACACCTGTTCTTGCTGTTGCTGTTTATGAAATTTGATAGAGATTTGTCCAGTCAACTCCAATTTCCTTCACTGGGACACTGTCTAATTTTTATATGCTATTCTTCAGATTAGTGAGTGGCTGCTTTTTGTTTTTTGCTCTCCAAGTTATTTTTATGTGAATATTTATTTATACCTTGTGGTACAGTCTTGTCACTCTTTTAATATGATGCCTCCCGAACAAACCTGGAGTGGATTTCCCTGGGGAAGAAATTAAGGCATATTGAACTCAGAGCAGCTTAGTTCTGAATAAAGATACCTTGGATTGGATTCCATGTTACAAAAAGTAATTCTGATTCTACAACTCATGGCAGTCTTTTGATGTGGCCCACAGTGCAAAACACATTTTCTACAATATCTTTTTTCTAGGACTGAACTTGGACCAGAAAAAATTTGGAGTAGCCTGCTGCTCCTGGGGAATTTGAGTAACTGCTACCTTTCCTATTCATAAAACAGAAGTGTCATTTTTTTCTTCTCTCTTTTGTCCAAACAACATTATGGGAACTTGGAAACCAGTTCTTCATCCAGCACCATCTAAACTAATCCAATTTAGCCTGCAGCACATCCTGTTTTCTGTTTTAAGACTACAACTGCAGATTTTGCCACCTCTCCCCTGCCCCCCTTTTAACTTTTTGGTTGTTTTTTGCTGAGTATCCAGCCGGATGAAGAGTTCTAGAGAACTCAAAAGCTTGCACGCTGTTTGTGATGCACATAGTTCCGTGATATTGTCGTTGGTGCTAATAAAAGGTATGATGCGCCTTTTATCCTTGGGCCCTAGAAATGAGCTCCTTAAATAGCTACTGACTGCTGTCTTCCCCTAATTTCTGTTAACCTGAGTTGGAGCAGAATAGAAGCAGAAGGACAAGATGTACATGTGAGCTTCTAAATTCCCTTCCTAAATGCCCAGTCTTAGCTCTGAGCATGAGCGAAACCTAGTGTCTAGCTGATCGTCATATTTGGAATTGGTGGATTTTTTCCAAGGTCACATTGGTTAAGTGTCTTTCTTATCCCTCCCCCTTCACCATAGTGTCTGGTTTGGCTTACTTGCCTGAGTTATTTTGGAACTTACTGTTCTGCGAATGCATTCTGCTGTGCACAAAGTTGTGTAGCGCAGCCTGGGAAACTTAGGTTTGAATCCCCACTCTGCCATGGAAACTGACTGGGTGGCCTAGGGCCAGTCATACACTCTCAGCTTAACCTATCTCACAGGGTTGTTGTGAGGATAAAATGGAGGGGGGAAAGAACAATGTCAGCTGCTTCGGGGCCCCGTTGGGGAGATCGTTGATAAATAAATAGTATACTGTGGAAGCACAAATATAAAGGTCAACATCCTTAGAATATAAGTTTTGATTTGATTTTTTTAAAAGCTACTTTCTAGCTCATTGGTACTCTGCAGCTTGTGGAGAATCACACTCATAGTTACAATCAACCAAAAGAGCCACAGTTATTTCCAGTGCTCACAGCTTACCTGTTCTTCTGGTGACAGCTGTTTTAAGGTGGGATCCTATCAGTCAACAAAAAGCTCCACCAGACAAGGGCTTTGCCCACTTATCCTGCCCCATGTTTCAGGAGCCATATTGGGAAACAGTGCTCAAGAAGAGTCACAAGTGGCATGTCAAAAAGCCACGAGGTGGTTCCTGAGCAGCTGAGCGATTCACACAGTTCTAGCTCTTATGATTGTGAATAAAGTGTGCTTGAAACTGTGAGCACGGGAATCTCTGAAACCATAACAGCTGCTGAGTGAAAGCTTCCCCCCCGCACTCATCAGAGCTTCAGTGTCCTACACAAGTTGTAAAAATAGTATAGACAGTGCAAATGTGTATAATTCTACCAGCTGTAGAATTTTGAGTTTTCTTAGGGCAGTGTCTGCCGCTCTGTGGCACACATTATGTCCAGGACTGCATTGGGAGACTGGTAGAGGGTGCTGCCTTTTAAGCCAAGAGTTGAATGATTCAGCCTGGTTAGTCCATTACAACTCTGTGATTTTTACAAATGTTGTCTTCTTCAAGTTGCAGCACTTCCCTTCCCCCAAGCAGAAGAAATGTATAAATCTTGCATTTAAAAGTACCCCCAACCCTGTAGACATACTTTTATCCTTGTGAGTCGGTGAGCATCTTTCCTATGTCTTAAGTCTCGTTAGTTGAAGCTGCAAGCAAGCATCAGACTCCTTAAATGCTCAAGAAAAAAATTTCAGTTACTGCCGCCAAATGACTTCGGAAATTTTTATATTTGCTTTTTTATTACAGGGAAATAGCACAAGAGAGAAGAAAATGACTTTAATAAGACAGTGAGTGAGGCAAATTGCTCTAACAACTTTAGTTTACATCTGACATTTTTGTTGTGTCTAATCCCAAGTAAGAATGTAAAATAATAAAGGCGACACTGTTAGTATAGTTGCCCTGTATTATATCACAATCACGCCTGTTGGTTTTCACGTAGTTCCACTTATATAGAAGCCTAGATATGGTGCAGAAATTGAATGCTTTAGAATCTCTTCTTGCTCACTCTGTCTTCCTTTTTAAATATATATATATATATATATATATATCAATTTTCTAACCCTCATAGATATGCCAATATGTTTGGAAAACTGTAAGACAGAATCTGTAGAAGGTTAGGTTAGGTTGGCTGTGTGTGACTGGCTGAAGGTCACCTAGTGAGCTTTCATAGCGGAGTGGGGATATGAACCTGGGTCTCCCCAGTGTGACATTCTAATTCCTACACTAAAATTGTAAAACAGAATGTCCATCACTCTTATCATACAAGTTTCTTCTCTTTAAAACTGATACATTGAGCAGACGTTTTCCTCACATGTTCTCCATGCGCATATAGTAAAATCTGTAACTACATCCCCAATGAGATGTAAACCTGATACCACTAAAAGCTGGTAGGCCAGTCCTAGGAGCAAAACCTGGCAAGATGTTGAGGATCTGTTATAAGAGCTCTACCATCATTAATAAATTTCCTTTAAAAGCTGCTGCAGGGGAAGGGAGGTACTGAGATTTTTCCTCCCTTGCTGTTTTCCTAATGTAAATTCTCCCCTCACCCCATGTGTGTGTGCTAGCAAATGTATGCTCATAATGCAGCATCCAGTTAACAGTGCAAGGAAACTATGGTTGTGCAGAGTTTACAACCAGGGTCCCAGCAAAAATAATGCCTCTATTTGCCTAGTTATACTAATATGCACGGTGGCTAGGAGGTGTTTTCCTAATCCTTGTGCCTGCTCCTCCCTCCCCTGGTTATTCTGGGATCCATCCCAGGTATAAGTTCAGGTGTGGAAGAGAAAGGCCTGGGGGAGAGAAGTACTTGTGGGGAGAAAAATAAAATGAGCAGAGAAGAAGAGTTGTTTTTTTATACCCCACTTTTCTCTATCCTAAGGAGTCTCAAAGTGGCTTACAATCGCCTTTCCCTTCCTCTCCCCACAACAAGCACCTTGTGAGGTAGGTGGGGCTGAGAGAGTTCTGAGAAAACCATGACTGGCCCAAGGTCACCCAGCTGGCTTCATGTGGAGGAGTGGGGAATCAAACCCGATTCTTCAGATTAGAGTCAGCTGCTCTTAACCATGACATCACGCTGGCTCTCACACTGGCTTAAGTATGCGTTCACACACATGCGCGCACACACACATTCTCCCTTGCACATCCTAGCACACCATTTGTATTAACCTGGAAAAATTAATTGGGAATACATGTTTGCCGAGAGTAGCTCTACACTTAATGTATCACACTGTGTTACTCAGAACACCACACAGCCGCCCCAAGGTATTTTGCCCCGCCTCCCGTACTGCCATTGGCCAGTTCCCAAAACACTGCCAGCTTTGTAAAGTTTGCCCTGGATCCATGCAGCACTGGCAGAAGTCTAGGAAGGGACGATGGGTGCAGGCCACGCAAGTCATCTCCTCCCATGGTGCTTGCTGGCTGGATAAAAAATGAGCTCCAGAGTGGCTTGCAAGCTCCTCGGGAGCCGTCCTTGGCCCCAGGCAGGTGGCAACGGCATGTGCCTGCCCATTCGTCTTCCCCCATGCAAGATGAGCCCCCAGCAGCCTTTGGTGGGCTGCGGAACCCAAACTGACAGCTGGGGTCGCTTGACTGTTGCATCAGCCCCGACTTTGCAAGGTTAAGTCGGGTACTGCTGGTCTTGTTTTATTTTATTCCCAGGGATAATTGAAGATGAAAATACAGAAACTGCCCAACGAGTTCTTGGCTGATCCATGAGATAAATACAAACACAAGTTGGTCTAAGACCAACTCTTTATAGATCGTGGACCACAGTGGCTCTCAGAGTTGAAGCCTGGGTCTTGATTGCTTGTCCCTGGAGGTCAGGCCAGATTCTTCGCTGTGTCCTCCTGCCTGGGTGCTGCTTCTCTATCTTTATCTCCCCACCACCACCCCAGCCTCAGATTTTCCTAGTTTCTAATTTCTTTGAATGCCCTTGCAACCCACATTTAAATGTTTCTCCTGTTTCACACTTGAGTTGGCTGTACTTTAGGGTGAACATGGATAGTTTTGTTGTTGTTGCTTGCTGCATCTGTATATGTGAAAGGGGAGAGTGTGTGCTTGTGTGTGTGTGTGTGTGTGCGGGAGTATATGTGCATGTGATTCCAGAACATTTTCTTAAAAGAGCTATGAAATCCATCTGAGCATTAATGAAAAAGCACCAAGCACAGGCACATGGACTTTAACACTCTGCCCCTCATCCAGATCTTGGAGTACTCCAGTAACATGTCTAGGAGATTAATCAAAACTGCCTTGGGGTTCCTTTGCTTGTTTCCTGTTAGGTATTGCTCTTCCCACTGGAGATCATCCTCCCTAGCCTCTCCCAGACTCGCCTTGACCTAGAAATGGGCTTTGATTCTAACAGCTGTAGTCCATTACTCCTTCAGTGGTGGTCCTTGCAATTTATTAGCTAAAGACACAGATAAATTCAATCCAAGCAATTATCGTTAGTGGCAATATATTGTAATCAGAATCACATGCAGGATGGGGGGGGAAACCCTATTCTCTAGTGCAACAGTACAAAGCTGGGAGGTTTTTGGCCGCTCTACTTAGTGTAATCACTTCCCTTCAAAAGCAGCAGCTGACTCAGGGGGGGTGGGTACCAACATCCACATCTCCCTGAGCTAGAATCAGTAGTCATTTCTTCCTCCCCCCCCCCTTCTCTTTTCTTTCTTTTCTCCAATAGAAACGGTTCCCTAGTGGGGCATTGCTCAGGGTTAATTTCAGTGCATTAAGTTTTAAGTGAGAATGTTTCGTTCTTCAAAAGAGAGGGGTTGGGCAGAGGACAGCTGAGTGCAGTTGGAAAATTAACCCCAGATCCAGTTCAGCGGGGGGGGGGGGAACAGCTGCACACAAGCCGCTTCTTGTTTGTCCCAGGGATGCTTACCCTGCATTAACTGCACCCATTGTGGGTGACATGCTCTGTGTTTGTTTATTTTAAATGGGGGTAACAGCACTTCAGGTCTGCACTGGAGCAGGTGGTTAAAGAAGCGGAGACATTTGCACTTGGCAGTCCATTTGCCCCAATGCCTTTCCTATTGGAAGCGTGATTCCTTTGCATTGGTCACAGTTTCAGGGTGTAATATTGCATCATCAGTGCACATGGCACTTTTGCAGAAGTACCAAATGACAGGGCCCTTCACTGAGGAGCTTAAAAGAGACAAAGGGGAGATGAAAACTGGGAAGAGCAAAGCGGGAATATACGTTCCTTCTAGTTGCACAAACTTAAGCTAAATCTCAATGGGAAACAGAGAAAAAGTTTGGGGCAAAGGCTTCATAGAATCGATTAGATAGCACCAGGGCCCCAAGATCTACAGAGTCTTGCAAGTTCCCCAAGACACAAATACTTCTCCATCTTTCAGTTATTCAGGTCAGATTGTCCCCAGAGAGTTCTGTGGCATTGAGACAGCAGCAGTGAATGGCAGCAACTTTTTATATATAGTCTAGCTCCTGGTGCCCAAGGAAGGACTGAAACAAATGTTACAAAACACTGTAAAACCAACTAATTCAAGGCTTGGCCCTCAGCTCACAAACCAACCCGGTGCCAATTGCGACTTACATGGCTCTCCACTGTGCTTCCCCAGCTGTTGGACGTGCCGTCTCCAAGTGCACTGAAGGGAGCTGCTTCTCCTCTTCAGGGGCTCTGAGGCACTGGATAAAATTAGCGTATCATAGAGAACTCTTCGACTTAACAAGGGCTTGTGATACATTGGCTCTCTTGGCACCAACACAGAGGGGAAAGGGGCCAAGATAGCTGACCACTTGACACAGTTGGCAGTTTCCACTTGGAGGTGCAGGGCTGCACTGATTTGAGTAGGCAGAATTTTTATTGTAGGCCCATGGTTGAATTGACTGAGGTAACTCTGGGAACTGGTAAGGTGTAGAGGTTAAAGAGTTGGATTTGGACCGTGCTTTGTATCCCTTTTTTGGGCCTCGCAGTGACCTTGAGCTAATCAGGCTTTTGTCAGCCTAATTTACCTCACAGAATTGTGAGAGAACCTTATCTGTGTGCATCCTTGATATATGCACTCAGTGCGGTCAGTATTTCCACTGCAGCAGAAAAACAGTGGTGGGTGTTCAGAAGAGCCGGGATGGTGCAGTGGTTAGTGTCAGGGGTCATTTCGTAGAAAAAGAGCTAGGGGGACTCATTAGCATAACTCATTAGCATATGCCACACCCCCTGACATCACCGGAAGTGTGTCCTCCCCACAGCCGGCGGCGACCTCCAGTGGGCACCAGCAGGGAGCTCCAGGCCCCGCCCTCCCGCACCTCACCCGGGGGGATGGCGTCCCCCGTGTCCCCCCCCAAATGACCCCTGGTTAGTGTCCAACTAGACTCTGGGATACTGAGGTTCAAATCCTGACTCTGTCATGAAGCTTGGTTGAGTGACCTTGGGCCAGTCATCCTTTCTCAGCTTACTCTACCTTGCAGGGTGGTGGTTGTCAGGGTAAAATGGAGGAGCCCAGAACGTGGCTGACCATCTGGATCTGTCGTCACAGAACACTGTATGCATCTTGGAGGAAAGGCTGGATAAATAATTAATAAGATCCTTGGTAACTAATCCACAATATGGAGGCTCACTATTTATGCAAATAGGTGCGTCAGACTCTGGCTTTCTCAGGCCAGCTAGCTGCTACAGTTGACATTACTAATTGTGTTGCCTGGCCTTTACTAAAGATTGCAGCTTGTGCTTGCGGATACACATAGCCAGTGTGTTATATGAGCTCCTTTTCCCCATGTAACCCCTATAAATCTCATCAGTTAATTGCGTGGTCTCGGGCCTGCCAGTGAAAGCAGATAACCCAGCCTTAAGGCTCCCCAGGAGGCCTCAAGGACCGGAAATGGTAAAAGCCACTTTCATGTCCTTATAGGCATCTAATGAGGATTTCACACACAAAGCTAGCCATATGGCCATGCCTTCCTCCCCTCCCTGTTTATGCATCCACCCAGATCTGGGGGTTCTTAATCTTAATCCCTGGTTCCCGTTGGTCTGAACTGTCATCTTATTTTTTTTCCCCAGTTGCTTTTTGCTGTAGTCAGAAAGGATGGTTTTAATTTCCCCTTCCTGGTGGGTGGACAGGCCTGAGACGGACGTGTGGGCACAGATTGTGGAATGGCAGGCGCCGCAACGGAGCCAAAGAGCTTTGGCCTAGCTGCACTAGCCTGTCTCTCTCACCCTTCCCTTCCTATTGAGTTCCCCCCCCCCACCCCTCTGATGTCTTTTCAGTCTTAGTTACTATTTTCTCCTTTTTCAATATCCTTCCATCCCTCCTCTTTTCCCAAATTCTTCTGTTTTTCGTCTCCTTTTTCTCTTTCCTGGTTTTTTATTCACCTGGCACACTTTTCTCACATTCTTCCACACACTTGCAGCACACCCAACGCTGTCCCACCACCAGGGTTTTTTTTAAGTGTGCCGAGCCAGATTCCAGTTGTGTTTTGTTGTATTTTTAAGTGGGTGCCACTGCTTTGAAAGACTTAAGAACTTCTGTAGAGTGACTCTGGATGTACACAGTTGTAATGGGAAAACAGCAGCTGGCACATTGTCCCTTGCCTTTCACAGCTGCAGGAAGGCACAGGCCGTGTTTCCTATACGTGATGCGTTGTCTGACAGCTTTCCATGTCAAACCTGTTGAAGAGAGTGTCAGAGAATCATTGACAAACTGTTTCTCAAGTGGGGAAACAGGGAAGGTTTTGATTATAATGGGAAGGTCGATTGGAGCATGCTGAGACAATGACGGTATATAACATTTACTCAGCCCCTCACATTTTGAAAGCATCAAGGGAATCGGTAAACGATTTGGATTGTATGCATATGCCTGAAATGTTCTCATCCTTGTTTTAACAAAGAGGGGAATATGTTGCCAAATGTCATTTAGTAAGCCTGGCTAGCAGCCATTCCCACTATTAAGGATGGGCACGAACTGAACTACAAAGCAAAATTTGTCATGAATTTTGCCCTGTTCATGGTTCACGAACCATAGTTTGTGACGGGTCTACTGTCACAAACTTCCATGAATTTTTAAAGGAGGTCATGTTGATTTGTGGGTAGAACAGAAAGTAGGGGTTTAAAGGGACTCCCTTTAACCCCCTGCTTTCTGTTTCCCACAAAAGCCACAAAAACAGCTAAGCAGTGGGGAGCAGTGTGCTCCCTGCTGCTCAGCTATTTTGGGCTTCTCGTGCTGTCCCTTTAAAGGAGCTGCATAAGAAAACCCAAAAAACAGCTGAGCATCTGCCGCAGGCTGCTCCCTGCCAGGCTGTTTTTCGGGCTTTCTGCAAGCCTCGTTTAAAGGGACTCCAGTCCCTTTCAACAGGGTTTGTGGGACCATGAACTCCGAACTGGTTTCATTCACAAACGAACCTCCTGGTTTGATTCGGTTCATGGTTTGGCCATGAACCGCATTTTTCTGGTTCATGCTCATCCCTACCCACTATAGCAGTGGTTTCAAACATTTTGTCATCTAGTCTCATGCTTGGAGCAGATTGCAGGACATTTTTCTCTGGAGAGAACAACTGGGGACATCCAAGGAAGCTGAATAAGACCTGGGCACTGAGCATTTTCCTTCCTTATATCCTCAAGCCCGGCTTCCTGCTTACTTTTGATGTGTGTTTAAAGGTCTTCTGGCTTTTTAAAGCATTGATAGTAGAAGTTGACTCCTTTGTACTTGCAGTGTAGGCCTTTATCTGTAGGACAGTGAAAGAAGAGCTTCCCATCAAGAAACAGGGAACTGCATCTTGCTACCTTACTATGTCGTCCCTGCTAAATTAATGAAGGGGTGTGGGGAGGGGGTTATTTGTTGGAAGTCTGGTGGCAACTTAAAGACTAACAGCATTTCCTCTAGCCTGAACTTCGGTGAGTCAGAGCTCACCTCCTCAGAGGCATCTGACGCAGGAAACTTTGTGCTGGAATAAATGCTTTTAGTTCTTAAGGTGCCACCGGGCTTCTGTTTTGTTTTGTCACAGTAAATTATCACAGCTTCCCCTCTGGTTTTCTTTGTTAGCCTGATTTGAAAGTATGAAAAGTGTGGTGGTAGTCCAGAGTCCTATGCCACACTTTTGGATCCTCCTTAGGAGCTTCTAAAAGATTGTTTGTGGTCAGTTGGGTGCAGGGAATGGGGAATTTCTTGGGGGTTTTGGTGCTACTTAAAATAAATGGCACAAAATAAAATTGTTTTTGATGGCAGAGCAAATGGGGATTCTGGGCAGATGTCTCACTCAACACGTACCAATTCAATCTTTAACAAAAATGGGGTGTGGGGGGGTTGACCTTGATTGTGACTGTGAATTCTCAGGTGGTTTATTTGAATGCAGCCCCTTGGGTAATTCTGGCTGCTTCCTCTTGAACTGTGCATCTCACTGAGGTAGAAAGCAGAGCAGTAACTATGATGGCTGTTAGAAACGTATTATCGTGGCTACACCTCATCTTTATTTGGTTTTATAAAATGGATGCATATGTGGTGGAAAGTGCCGTCAAGTTGTAGCTTGCTTATGGTGACCCCATAGGGTTTGAAGGCAAGAGACAAACAGAGGTGGTTTGCCATTGCGTAGCGACCCCTGACTTCCTTGGTGGCCTCCCATCCAAATATTAACCAGGGCTGACCCTGCTTCGCTTTCGATATTTGATGAGATTGGGCTACCTTACGCCATCCAGGTCAGGGCTTGGATGCATGTAGGATCTTCAAAATCAGAAAATATTAGCTATAAACTTAGTTAGGTTGGCACTAACAGTACTACTTGCCACCACGCTTGCTGCTAGGGTTGCCAACTACTTGGAGAAAAAATGTCCTGTCCCCTTAATAGAGGCTTAATGGGGTGTTATTTACTTCCATGCCATGGAAAACTTCAAATTCCCATTTGTACACATTAAGACTCTGTTAAAAGAACAGGGCATTTTTTTCCAGGCTTACAGGCAAGCCTGTTCAAGAAACACTGTGCATTTGTTTTCCAGTATCTTAGTACTACTAGTAGTAGTAGGCTACTGCCATTGGTGTTTAATGTATTTATGTTTTAGCATTTTGAAAGTTGCCTCAGTGTGTGTCATACTGAAAGGTAAGGAATAAGTGTTTTAAGTAAACAGATAAAGATACAAGCTAAGAGAGCAATCCTGAGTACATCTACTCAGAATCCTACTCAAGTCTGTTGAATGGGTCTTCCTCCCAGAAAAGTGTTCTAAGGGGAGCACTGGAAAACTTAAGCAAATAGAAGTGGCTGGATATCTCTTTAGAGAGTGTTTCCAGGCTTGCATGTTTGTCGTGCTGTTCTTAACAGTTGGTTGCTTCCTGGGGTGGATTTTCATACTCATAATGCCACATATTTACTTGTATACAGATCCTCTTGTGTCTTTTTTCAGTAACATGCGTAGTGCTTTTCAGTGGCTTGATGTTTGATTGTTTGTTTGTTAGGATGGCTGCAAGTTTCATTGGTCATTAAACCAACATGGTGCAATGGTTAGACTAGGACTGAGAAGGCCTGGAATCAAATCCCCTGCCCCCCAATTGAGACTCACTGGATGAGAGTGTGACTGGCCCACCCTATCTCAAAGGGCTGTTTTGAGGATTAAATGGAGAGAACCATGAACACAGCAGTGAGTTTTTTGGAGAAAGGGCAGAATAGAAGTGCCACAGAG